CCAGTGAGTCCTAAACACATAGCTGTGACAGATGGTTCATTAATGATTTTGAAGGTTATGTGAAGGACAAGATACATAGCTTTGGTTCTCTGGATGTAAATTGCATTGGAACAAGTTTAATTGAAGGCACTTAATCTAAAATTCACTTTTTCATTTTCCAGTCATATCCACATTGCTTCGTAAGGATTACTTAAGCAGAATTACTGTCTTATGACATCATTTGATTAGATTGGAACTTGACTTTTTTAACCTGACCTTTTCCATTGAAGGGAAGAAAGAAAAATAGTCGTGGGGATTAACTCAGCCTTTTAAGGCAGAAGTGACCATCTCTTTCTGTTTAAAAACCAGAAGTCTATTTCTGTAAATAAAATTGCCATTCCATCATTACTTAAAGCCAGAGATTGTCCATGGCTTCTAGTATTTTTCTCTTTGTTCTATGCATGACATTTAATGAAGATGAGTCACATGTAAACTCTGAGTTCATGAAGGATATATAGCAGTAGTTTTGTCACAACATTTAAGCTATTGCTGGGATGCAGACCTTCTCTAAGAAGCTCTTCTAGATGCAGCTTTCTGAACTTGAAAGTGAAAGGAGTTAGAAAAATGGCTGCCATTTGATAAGGCAGGTCCCATTTGTTTCTCCCTCCTTCCTTGTCTCTTCCTGCAGAGTATTAGATACTGATTTCTGATATTCCTTTCAGCCTTGAGAGTCAATTCTAAGTTACAGGGTTTGCCTTGGTGGACTGTGATTCAATTACAAGTTGAATGCTGGGAAGCAAGGGATCGATCTAGAACATTCTTTACCATGATCCAGTCTCGGACTGTGTCACTGACATTCACAGATTGATTAGGCTGAGTTGACTATTTCTTATGAACACACATTTCTTTTTCTTTCAGGTATCCATTATTTTTTACAATTATTTTTTATTGTATTATAATTATACATAAAAGTGGAGTTTCATTGTTACATATTTGCACATGTACACAATATAACAATACAATTTGATCAGCTTTATCAGTACCTGCCCATTCTTTCCTCTTCTCCCTCCCCTTGCACCTCTTCCTCTATTCTACTGGTCTCCCTTCTATTTTCATAAGATGCCCCTGCCCCATATTTTCCCTTTATTTCTCTAGATTCGACATATAAGAAAGAAACACATAACTCTTTGACTTTTTGAGTTTTGTTTATTTCACTCAACATAATGCTCTCAAGTTCTACCAATTTTGAATGAAATGATATAATTTCATTCTTCTTTATGACTGAAATATCCATTGTTTTATAACAGTCATTTTCCAAGTTTAGTATTATGAGTGTTGTTTGCCTTGACCTTGTAGCTCACTAAGCAAGGTCCTGTTGATGACCATTAGAAGAAGAGGTATGTGTTATTCCTTCAAAACATATGTATGCAAAAGTGACCATATTTTCTTAATAAAAGAAAATAAGAGGAACTCATGTTTTTCCTGGTGTTCTGGGGAAGGTCTGCAACCACTTGTAATTGAATCTGACCTAGGAAATCTAGACATTAGAGTGTTCATTCAGCCAACTCTATGGACTATAAGTCTAACAAAGAGAATCTAGAGAATTAGGAGGGAACAGTGACTCTAGGTTCCCCAACCATGTGAACTTGGGGCAATTCATTTAACCCTTTCAGCCTCAAGTTCATCTGTGAAAACAGGGAAAGAAAGATCCTCTTACACAGTGAGACTTGGGTAGTGAGTATAAAGTGGCTAACAATAGTGGGGTTCAGTGAAGGACCCCGGGCCATGACATGCTTGGAAAACCCAGCATTCTGAGGAATATGCTCTTGGTGACTCCTCATGTAGTCAAAGTCAAATAAAATTTGGAATTGGCTAATATTATTCACTGAAATAATTGCACTTATTCTCATCTCTGCATTTTCCCTCTGAGTTGCTTTCTAGATCTGAGTGTCTTGTGAGGCGTGAATGGCAGCTTATCTTGCTGAGAGTGTGGAATAAACCCTTAGCAGCCTCTGGTGTTAAAGGGCTTGACTTATCTCAGTGTGGTGGCAGAGCGCCCTGGCTGGGTTTCCTTCTTTGTCTTTGCACTCTGTGTCGTTGCTTAGCACAGCTGTCAAACACCTCTAGTGATGCTAAGAGCAGGTTGATGTACTGTGTCTTCCACTCCTAGGATATCCTAGGTGGATGGGCATTTTCATTTTTAGCATTTATAACTTAAGAAGCACATGCAAAGAAGATTGTTAGCTTTCTAACAAAATACGCTTCTTAAAATATAGATAATATAATCTTCTATGACAAGTAAAAAAGTTGCCTCACTCCAAGTCATAAATGTGTTTCTGAAAAGAGGGTAGTTGTAACGAGCTTGATTGAAAATGTAATTGGCAAACTCACTATTCCAAGGAAATCTTGGTGAAGCTCTACTTAAAGATAATGATCATAATGATATACTTTTGCACTTTGGAATTTGATGTATGATATCAAGCTTTTTCTAAATATAAGCTGTCTTCTCTCTCTCTCTCTCTCTCTCTCTCTCTCTCTGAAAATAGGATAATCTCACAATCTCCTTTTTATCCTCTAGGCTTGGAAATGGCATAAGAGGCAACAGATTTTACCACAAAAGCTCCCCTCCTCCTAAGACTTCTCCCAGACACAAGTTCAAAATCATTCTTCCATGTGCATCCCTTAATCATCTAGATTTTATTTTTGCATAACGTTTTTATTTAATTGTTTATCTTTTCCTCATTCATCTGCAATGCTGACTGTTTCACATCAATTCTATTATTTGTGTGAGTCTTTATTCCCAGGCTATTTATTCTATTGATCTATTCCTAAAACAACACAGTGCTGTCTTGAGTATTAAAATTTTTAATAGATTTTAATATTTGGTATGAAAAGTCTTCCACCTATTTCTTTTCCAAGAGTATCCTAGTTATTACTAATTCTTTGTTCCTACATACAAATTTTAGGATCATCTTTTCAAGTTCTACTGAAAAGTCTATCATGATTGTCAGCAAAGTTTAATTGAATTAAATTTCCGGGGATTATTGACACCTTTGTTATATTATCCTCCTATTGATAGGTGTGGAATATAGCTACATTTATGTAGGTTTCCCTTCCTGTTCTTCAATAAATTTTTTGCTCCTGAGTGCCATGAGACCAATCACTCTAAGTGGGGGAGCCAACACAATACTTTAAAAGCAGTACCTCCCAACTCAGACCAGAGACTGTCTCACTCCCTGCTGCAGATCTCAGATATGAGTAAGGGAGAGTTGCAGAGACGAGAGCCTCCTAGGCTCAACCCAGAGTCCCCGCAGTCAACCAACGTGGTGCTGTTAAGGATTGGAGCAAAAAGAACTCTTGCTGGAAGGAACAGAATTAGGAAATTCGTTTGGGAAAACGATTTGGCATTACATAAGATTGTCAGAGTCTTCTTTGACTACTGATCAACAGTTCTATTCCTGTATGTATTCTTATTAAGTACTACCCAATATGGTAGTTACTACTCATTTGTGGCTATATATATGTAAATTAAGATTAATTAAAATAAAATTTTAAAATTCAGTGTTTCAGTTGTACTATCTGCCTTCCAAATGCTCAGTATCCATGTGTAGTTTTGGTGGTGGCTACTGCTTTAATTAGCTCAGACTGCCATTTCCATCATAACAAGGAGTTTTTCTGGCCAGCACTTTCTAGATAATTTCCTGAACAGAAAAATAGTTCTAAGATTATTTACAGTAGTACTATGTATAACTAGAAAAAAAGAAAAGAAATAATCCAAGTGTCTATTCATAATGCACAAATAGAACTTTATATATTCATAAAACTGTCAACCATCAGTAGTGAAAAAGCAATGAACTATAGCTATACACGTCAGCATGTGTAGATTGAAAAACATTCTGTTGAGTACAAAAAAAAAAAAGCAAGTCATATAAGAAAGCATAAAATGTCTCAACTTGTATATGTTAACATAGGCAAACCTGTCATATAACTTATTCAATATTTTATTTTCACATGTGGTTTGAGATGCACCTCAAAGTCTTGAAAATTTTTGAGTAGGTAGCAATAATAATATAATGCTTCTGACGTGGGATCCAAGGTGGAGAGCATTTCAAGAACCTAGAGTCATGTCCAAAGACCTGCTAAGTTCACTGGCCTCTTGTCAGCCAGGAGAAGTCTTCTGATAACATCTAGTCAGGTTCTGCCCACTATTCAGATAGAACAGCAGAATTCATAAGGAGGCAGCCCAGCGGTTCTAACCTTGGCTGGATTTGATCACTGATCCATCTCTCGATGGATCCAATGAAGTTCAATGTTAGATCCTTCAAGTTCGCACAGTTATGGAACTAGTCTTAAAAACTGGCCCCATACTTTGTAAACTATTTTTCAGTGAGATAGAAAAACACAATATATCATTAGTATTTTACTTTCCACATGTATGGGTTCTCTTAAAATGTCTAGAGCTACCTTCTACATCTTTGGCTCAGCAGTATAATGACCTTCAGTCTACTCTGAATGAATTGTAACACATTTCCAATGAGTAGCATCAAAAATAACAAGACCTGTTGCTAAATAATAGAATACATTGTGTCCAGAAAAATCAAGATAGGGAAAATGTAGTTGGATGTTTTAACATCAGAAAAGAGTCATCAGGGAAAGATTTTGGAGAATAAAAGAAACTCTGCAGCCAAAACGTAAGGTGTCCCAGGTCTAGATGAGGGAGGAAGCTGGGGCCTTCTTGAACAAAGCCCAGCCCCCCACCCCCAAGTCCTGCACAAGTGTGTGGTATAAGGACTTTTACTAAACATGCATTTCAGAATGCTGTAGTAAGATGTGGTTATGGTCATTTTCCTATTTTCTCTTTTAATCAGCTAAAAATATAAACATTTTGGTGAAGACATGGTCCACATATTTAACTCTATAATTTCCCTAACACCAAGTACAGAAATGTCAGTGAAATCTGCTACATTATTTTCCTGCCTGAGAATGCAAAGGACCAGAACTCTGCAATGTGGGACACATACCTCTCCTCTTGACCTTTGAAACCAGCACGGCCAGGGGGCTGTACGTACCACCACTTGTTCTGTTGTCCTGTGGCAGTTTCACGCACATGCCTGCCATTCGGAGTTTTGGAGTGTGCGTTGACATCTGTGTGTGTGGCGATAAACCAGTGCTGGGTTTGATCAGGACATGATCAGCATGCCTTGCTGGTATGCTGTCAGAAACCTCACATTAAAATGTCCCACCCATGGAACAGGCTATGGCTTTAGGATTCAACTCACTTGGGCACCTGTTCGGGATATATTCAGTCTACAATTTCTTTCTTTCTTTCTTTCTTCTTTCTTTTTTACTATAAGAGCAGGAACTTTAATCAAAATAGAACATTAAATGAAAATCATCAACTGCTAGACAAATGGGCATTTAACAGCTACTAAACAAAATGTAATTCTTTCTATGGTGACTAAAAAAATCATTGTAAAATTTTACAGGAGGAGAAATATTTGGAAGATGACTAGAAACCTTGGGAAGTCTGGTGAAAAGAGAAAATTCAAAATATTCTGGGTAACTGCTCGGGGTAAATGCAGGAAAATATAGCTTTCAAACTAATGTATTCCAGTTTAACAAATATCAGATCCTGTCCTCTGAAAGTAGCAGCTTTGGGCTGCCTGAATAGTTGCACAGGGAGTGCACTAAACAAACCAGAGAGATACCAATACCTCTGCCCCAGCAAGAAAATCATTCCCTGCGGTTGTCCACAGGGTCACCCTGACTGCTCTATGGCTGCTACTGCAGCCATTCGGGTGGAAAGCGTGATAAGCCTGATTTGTGTTTCCTAAACAGGACACAATCATGTCTGCCATTTTTTTCCCTTTAGACCAAGGCATTTGGCATATTTCATCTGCCTAGTAATGCTTGACAAAATTTTGCTGGAACTTTCATTTTTTTTTCTGATGACTGATTTGATATAGTCTTAGAGACAAATTTGGCAAGAGATTTTTGACATATAATAGTTGCTTGCACAAACAAAGGAACTGAGGTCTACCTCCAGCTGTAAATTGCTACTTGTCACCTGGTGGTTGTGCCTGACCAGTGCAGGGCTGTTCTGGGGACTGGGTGGCTTTTCAACATTGGGACTTATGCCCTACTCTAATGGAAGAGTGGTTTTAAAGTAAGATTGTGTTCTCTTTCATAAGAACCAGACTTCCTGAGTTTAACCTGTGGCTTTCTCACTTCGTAGCTTTGTGACTTCTGGCAAGCTATGGAACCTCAGTGTATAAATATACATGTTTATACCTCCACACACAGTGGGGATAATAATAGGATCACTACAGGAAGTATACTCGATGGTATATATGAGGCAATCAGCACAATGCCTATTTGTGGGAAGCACTTAATAAATTTTAGTAGCCATTATAATTAAGCACTTGCTCTATTTTTCAAAAGTCATTTTAGCCTGATGGAATCTGTAGGAAAAAAGGCCATTGACCATGAAGTTCATACTTTCCTATTTTTAAAAATGTATGTTCCAAAGTTTATTTAAATTCATTTATATTGATTTATCTAACTTGAAGTTAACTATTTGGTTCATCTTCAGAAATGTCTATTTGACACTGTAAGCCCAATCACTTGCACAAAGATGTATCACCGTTGATGTATATCAGGTTGGTTCTTAATATCTATCGTATGCATGTGTGACACTGAATGCCATAAAAGCAGAATATAGGCATTTCTGTTGAAAGGAAGCAAGAGCCTTTGCAACGAGAAAATTGTCCTATCTCTCAACCAGTGTCAGAATGTGGAAATGTTTACAAAATGCTCATTAAAAGAAAAAGGGATTGCAAGATAGAAACAAAATCTAGTGCACAAGTTTACACTAAGGAGATAAGAAAGGCTAGGCCCCTCTAGGGGATTTTGTTAGCCAATTACTGCAACCTGACTTTTGGGGGGAGAGGAAGAATGAAAGGGGGAGGGGGAGAGAGAGGAAGAGCTTCCAAACTTGTCTGCAGTGACATGAGACATTTACGCTCTGCTAGATAAAACTGCCACTTAGAGCCCAGGAGAGCTAGACTTTCCTGGGTTGGCCTGGAGGCTTGAGCGGAGTCATGGATTCTCTGGTCCTGCGGCTGTGCGCTGTCTTCTGCCTGGTGGCTCACTCCGTTTCTGGCAGTCCCATCATGGGCCTTGAGCCTCTGGAAGAAGATATGCCCTTCTTTGATGATGTCTTCTCAGAGCAAGATGGTGTTGACTTTAACACACTGCTGCAGAGCATGAAGGACGAGTTCCTCAAGACGTTGAACCTGTCGGACATCCCTATGCAGGACTCAGCCAAGGTGGACCCACCAGAGTATATGCTGGAACTCTACAACAAATTCGCCACAGACCGGACCTCCATGCCCTCTGCCAACATCATCAGGAGTTTCAAGAATGAAGGTAAGTCTGCATTTTCACTGATGAACTTTGGCTTGGGCTTTTTCCAAGAAGGTAATTTTCAATGCATGGGAATATGGATAAGGATGAATACATCCATTTGGGGGTATATATATACCGATAACCCCAAACAGTGCCAATTTTGATCTATACCATTTATATGGTTGTTTTGGAACCCCCCAAAAGGCACAGAAAAACACCTTTTAATAAAAAGCCGCAGAATGTCTATAGTTATGATATCCTAAGATCTTTAAAAAGTTTCAATTTAGGCAACAAGTAACACAAAACTATTGCTGGGCTGCTTATATTTTTGTCACTTTCCAGATGGGCCTCAATTTCCATTTTGGTTTTTACTTAGAATGGAAATAGTAAAAAAACATAAAAGCCTGGAAAGTTATGTTTTTTGTTGTTGTTGTTTTGCTCAAACTTTGGATGCTTCTATTTTGTTACCTTATTTAAGAAATCTTAGAATAGGATGGAGACTTGGATTGTGCAGATGCTTCCTGAAGTTGAACTGTGTTTGGTATGTTATGTACATCCTTGGAGCACTGTTTATAGGAAGTATGCAATTAATGATCCAGCTTGTCATTTCTGTATCTTTATGAAGAGGAATGTACAAGCTTTAAATTATTGCTGAGAAGTGTGTTTTCTCCTCTCACATCTTTAAATTCAGTAACTAGATCTAGAGAGCTAGCAAGTTAATCCTTTATTTAGTACGGTAGAGGAAAATTATCTATGATAGAAGCTATGGATTGAAGGAGATGAATTCTTTAGTATTTTCCAATCATACTTTTACAATCATTAAGCAGACATAAAAGAGGTTTTGATTGATGTTGTCCAGATGTTCTGAAAGCCAAAAGGCAGTGGCAAGAAAGAACTCAAGATATGAAATTTTGAGAGTTGGTTGACTTGGGTATTTATGGATAATTAATTTACTCTATCCAAGCCTCAATTTCCTTATCCATAAAATGGGAGCCGTAATACCAACATAACACAGTTGAGGGAATCATGTGTTGCTACAGATAAGCACTTTGGTTTCCTATGAAGGGCTGGAAAAACTTTAATTGTTATAAATTCATTGCTTAAAATTGTAGGCATTGGAATGTATGCTCACCAGGTATATCTTATGCCTTGAGATATTATTTGCCTTTAAAATTGACTGCTAAAATGTATATTTTGTAACATATTCCTAGTAGAAAAGCCAAGCTTAAAGATTCCTTTTGGAGGAGAGTTTGAATTGGAAACTGAGCAACCTCCTACTGTGGGAATGCTTCCTAAGGCTTCTCAGCACTTGTCCCAAGTGTCTGGCTCAGGGTGTGGGTGGAGAAGTGTCTGCAAGCCCTGGGAAAACAAGAACACTTTCCATTCTCACTTCTCTTTGGAGGATTTGGGGAAGCCAGGTCAGAATGTGGGGTCTACCCAGTTTGTTATTGCTGAAGATCAGCGTAGGCAGGAGCACGTGTCTCCGTGGGCACTCAGCCGCTAAACCTCCCTCTGCCAGTCTGTGGGAGGAAATGCAGTCTGAAGACAAGTGTCCCCTCACTGATCTCACTCTGTTGGCTGCTATGATCTTCCATCTGGTCCTTCAGTTCTGCTCAGTGCAGACCCCAAATCTCCAAACTTAACTCACATGGGAAAAGCAAGTGCCATATCCAAAATGGGAAAACTATGCCTTCGGTTCCCTAGCTCCACTCCTCCCTCCTTGCATCGTCTAGGGAAGTCAGTTCTCTGCATTGAGATCTAGTCTCTTTTGGTGCAAAATAGACAGAGGATCCTACTTGAATTATGGGGACATTGTAAGAACTACTTAAGGTCACACTTGCAAAGCCCTTGGCATGTGAAATTTGTGAAGAACATGAGTTCTCTTACTTTAAAATGTAACTCCTTCATCTATCACTCACTTCATCTGCATATGAAAAGAACTTCAGTGAGTTAATTTAAAAAATAAATTTTATTGGCTTATAATAGACATACAGATATCTGCATTTATTTAAGGTATATAATCATATAGGTTTGCTCATATGTAAGCATCCACGGAAAGCATCACCATGACAAATACAGTGAGTCTATCCATTAGCACCATTTTTTTATAATATCCATTATGCAAATTTTTCCTTATTTGCCTTTGCAATCTCTCTCTGCCACTACAGAGAACTTTTACTTTGCACTTTTCTCATGGAGAGACCAGTCTCCTCTCCCATTTTTGGTCTTTTTGTGTTCCCTGTCCAGAGGAAGTAGTCTCCCTAATTTTTAGACTAGAGAGACAATTCCCAAGTTACTTCTGTTTCTTACCCCCAAACCTGATATGTTATAGATATATGTCATGCCCTTAACTCAGTTGGCCTGATGCCCAGAATCAACAAATAATTAACATCTTAAGACACTGTCTCTGTTTAAGGCATCATGGTAAAATACAGACGTAATAGGGAGTTTGAGTCATAGTAACTGCCCCAAGGATGTTGGCAATCTAGTTGTGAAGATTCATTCATAAAAATTACAACAGAAACAGAGTAAATGACAAAAGTCAGAGGGGAGACAGAGAGAGCAAGTGCTCAAGTGACTCATAACGGAAGCTTTCAGATAGGGACTTGTTGTAAGGAGGGTCTCACAGGGGAGAGGCCAGAGATGGATAGGGGAAGGTGAGGCAAGAGGGCCTTCTGAAGATAAAAAGAGCATATTTAAATGTGCAAAAT